AAAAAAAAAAAAAAAAAAAAAAAAAAAAAAAAAAAAAAGAAAAGGCAAATGAATGATTTTTTTAAAAAATTTGAGGCAATCTCTTTCTAGCTGGCCTCAAACTTCTGATCCATCCTGCTGGGATAGCAGACATGCACCATCACAACCAGAAAAAAAGGAGGGAAACTGATAAATGAAACAATGTGGGTGAATCCCGAAGACATCATGTTAAGTGAAAAGACGGGGACAAGGGGCAGATTCTGTAATGATTCCACTTATATGAGACACCAAAGTAGCATGGCATGGAGACAGAAGGAATGGTGGCTGGCAGGTGTGTGTGGGAAACAGGGGTTGTTTAACGGGCCCAGAGATTCATCTTTTAGATGGATTTTTTTTTAATTGAGTCTATTGGTACATTTTAGGTATACAGTACAGTTACATTCATTATTGGGATCTTGTATCTTTACATGACAGGTCTTGGTTCTCATTTTTTCCCCTTGTAACTGCCCTCCCTTCACCCCCCCACCCCTTGAATATTTTTAATTATGTGAACTTATAAATGGTTAAGATGGTTTTGTAAAATAAAAAGGACGGCTGCAAACCAAGACCAGGAGAAAGTGGCCTGGGGAAGGGAATCTAGATGTGGTCAGGAACAGGCGTGTGGGAAGTTTCAATTATATCTCCACCTTTATGTTTCATTTCTTTTATTAGAAAATGGCAGCAAGGAAGGTGATGAAATCCAATATTCTTCGATTCCAGGAAATAGGAACATGTGCTTCTTTTTCTTTCTAATTTTAAGATTCTCCAAGAGAATAAAATTACAGGACCGTGGCTGGGCCAAGTTCTGGACTTTCTGGGCTAAGAGACAATAAGCAGGCCTCATGGGGACACCTGGCTGGGTCGGCAGGTAGGGTGCACAGCATGGGGACCCAGGCACCTGCAGGAGATGCCAGGGGCCCTGAGGAAGGCGGGCTGCATGTCCCTCCAGCACACGTGGGTGCCGAGAAATCTGGCCATTGGAACTGGATGAAAACTGCTCCTGTGGCCTCTGTAGACTTAAGCCCAGAGCATTCAGCAGCCAAGGAGCTGGGCTGTGAGCCTGGAGGGCAGGGGGCTCTCACGCAGGGTGGAGGGTGAGCTTCAGAGGTTGCTGGCTCAGGTCCACCTCCCATGGTTGGCCCCCAAAGCACAGCACACAGGAGGTGAGAAGCAGCACTCAGGAGAGGAGAGCTGTGGCAAGGGTGCGAACCCTGCAGCAGATTTCGCCAACAGAAGGGAAAACCCACAAAAGCTTCTCCCAGACCCTTGGAGAGCCCACATAGGACCTCTACGGTGCTGTGCCCCTAGACTGTGACCAATAGACCCTAACTGGGCCCCAGTGGCTGCTACCCAGCTGCTGGTGGAGAATGTGGACCAGGAAGGGCAGAGGGACCCGGGGGTGATGGAAAGGTCGGGGCTGAAGGGACCTCTCACACTTATCAGCTAGAAGGCTCTCATGTCCTCTCCTCTGCGACCCTACAGAGATCCTGGGTCGGCCTGCGAAGACAATGCCCTCCCAAGGACCCCTGAGGGAGGCAACCACAGCTTCAAACCCTGGCTCAACACAGCCTGAGGTTTTTCTTGGTAGACATGGGGGAGCTTCTCTTTCACTATTCTCATCAGAGTAGAGAACAAACTTCGCTTAGGAGAGGGAAGAGGGAGCCGAGCTGCCCCTACCCACTCAGGGTCAGTGGCCTCAGGGAAACAATGAAGATGGAGAGCCTCCCGCAGCCTCTGGAACTTGGAAGATGCCTATGCCAATCCTGGTGTGTCACCCAGACCACTAATGGAGGGAGGACACTGCCACAGGGTCAGTGAGACTGGTACACACAGGAATGAACAAACAGCCCTGCGTTTCCTGGAGGGCTCAGAAGGGTGGGGGCTGCGGGCTTAACCTCCCCCTCCACTTGACCCTGAGGTGAAGGTGACAGCTTGGGAGCTGCATCCTGAGAGTCACTGGGTGACTGTGCATGTTGTGTGGCCAGTGTTCTATGCCTGACAGTTGAGGAAGGATACTGAGTACAACCAGGGACTGAAAACCCGCACCAAACCTGGCCCACTTCCAACTTTTTATTTGTTATTGGAATACAGCCACATACAACAGACTGTACAGTTTGCAAAGCCTAAAATATTTACTATCCAGCCCTTTACAGAAGAGGTTTGCTGACCTCTAATCTACACTACCATTGGCTGTAAAATGCACATCGCAATTACTCCTAGGATAACACAACACCTAGCAAGCCACAGGCTGCTTGGTTCTGGGTCCTGATGGAAATCAACATCTCCTATCACCCACTCAGGATACAGCCTTTGGGATTAGAGACTTCTGGGCCCTGGAATCCTGGAAAGTAGGATCCAGCACTCCCCTTTTCAGAGAGTAATGTAGGCAAAAACAGTCACAGATGGGCTTAGAATCTGCAGGGCAGCACAGCCCTTTGGACTTTCCCTTTGCTTTGAGATTGAGGCCACTTCCTCCCAGGGGGACCTCAGCCCAGCCAAGCCCACCTTGGCTGCCTGAGTTCACCTTCACTCCCATAGGCCAGGCACCAGCCAGGCTCTGGGTCACAGTGGGAGCAAGAGACCGGGCCCTTCAGTAATCTACTTCTTTCTCCTGAGGTAGACAGCCTGGAAGAGGACCACCAGGTGTTTTCTCAGCCTACCAGACAACAGGAAAAGGCTGATATGCCCAGAAGGGTTGGAGTTGGGGGATGGTGTCAGGGAAAATCTTGTGAGGAAGTTACCTCACCCCAAGCTGAGAAACAAGGAAGGAACCAGCCCAGCAGCCCAGGGGAAGTGTTTGGGCCCTTGGGAACAACCAAGGTGGAATGAGTGAAATGAGGTAGCAGGGGAAGGACAAGTGGACAAGGGTCAAAGGTCAGGTTACAGGGGCTGGCAGGGGCCATTCTGAAGAGGATCAGAACTCTGAAGAGCTTTCCTGCAAGTCCAGGAATGCAGTTCCAGGATCCAAATATTCTCTTCTTCCAGAGGGGGTACCCCTTAGATTTGTCCTCTAGGACAAAGCTGTGCTTCCTGAAGGGCTCTACTCCAGGAAAAAGGACTAGTAACCGTCACTTAATCCTCCAACTGCAGCCCAACTGGAGAAAGTGCCAACAACTACATCCAAGTCACTGCCCACGGTCCCAGGCAAGTGACCAGGAAGTCCAGCTCCCAAACAGCCCCCAGCTGCAGAGGTCTGCTTTCAAGCAAACACTCAGAATCAGAAATCCTCAGGTCCAAAGGGTGGGACTTCTTCCTAAATGCCAGAACTTCCTCCAAAAAAACACAAGGTAGCCTGGGCAGGTGCATCAGCTTGGCTGGGCTGGCCAGCCCCCTGGGCCACACGCTGGCCTAATCCCCTTCTCGACTTGGGGTAGGCTGGCTGGACAGGTCCCTTTGCTCAGCTGCATTGTGTCGTTGCTCTTGGCAACCCCAAGGGAGGAGGGAGCACACACGCACACCGAAGTCAGGCCCCTCTCAGTGCACACACATCCCAGTGGGAATTACAAACCAAGGACGACCCCAGAACAAGCCTGGCCTTTCCCCTTGGCCTCTGACCTTCTCCAGCGATAAGATAACAGCTTGCTTCAAATTCCAACAGTCCGTGGAAAGCAAGATTCAGGGTGACTGGAAACTTCAGTTATCCCACCCACAAAGAGGACAGGCTGGAACACATCCCCAGGCTTCAGGTATTCGGGACAGAGAAAGGGAAGGACAGGACAGGCCACCTCTGGAAGCCGGCCTCAGAAACTTCCTCTGAAATGGGAGTCCGGCCTGACCCTATTTTATTTGACCTTTGTCACTAAGCGTCACAAACACAAAGGCTCCAGGGAAAGGGAGTCCCTAAGTGAGAGGCCAGCGGGGACCGGATCACCTCAAAGCACAGCGCTCTGCTCACTACACCGCCCGTCTCAGTCCCAACCTCATATCCAGGCTCCTCAGGCTGAGTCCCAGGAGTGAGGACCGGGAATGCCCGCGAGCTCACCAAACACCCGGCGCGCTGAGATCCCTGAAGCAGCCCCAGGGCGCCTCGGAGTCTGCCCCGCAATCCTCGGGGACCCCGCCTCGGCCCCGAGACTGCGATCTGCCCTCACCCCGCTTCTTGTTTCCTGTGCGGCTACGAGCCGCCAGCTTGCACCGGCACCTTTCGCGCTCCTCTGCTCCTGTACAGAGTCCGAGACGCCCGGCCGCGCGGCGCG